GATTTAAGGGTAGAAAGTAAACAGAATGCCTGATGCTCAAGTGCACACCTGGACCAGCCCAGCTACTTAGCCAGAAGCCACAGCGGGACCTGAGAGCCGAAGGAGAGCTAGCTGCTCGAGGTGTGTCACACACACACACACACACACACACACACACACACACACACACACGTTTACATGTGCACATACCCACAGTGCATGTGCATGACACATACACATACATATCCATGCAAACAATGTGCACACGTGTCTCCATGGATGTGCACAGGTCTACAGAAGTTCAACACTGCAGCCTACAATATGGATTGCATCTCAACGTCAAGAAAACAAAAATCCTCACCACCTGTTCTGCAGGCAACATCATGATGGACAGATAAAGGACTGAGACTGTCAAAGATGTCACCTTACTTGGATCCACAATCAATACACTTGGCCCAGCAGTCAGGAGATCAGGAGACATATTACACTGAGAAAGTCTGTAGTCAGGGACCTCTCCAAATTATTGAGGAGCAATGGTGTCAGCTAGAGGAATAAGGTGCGCGTGATTCAGTGGCCAGGGCCTTTTCATTCACTTGCTATGGATCTGAGAGAAAGACAAGGAATAAGAATGATGAAGACTAGAGAGGATAGAAGGAGAATTGACGCCTTTGAGCTGTGGTGCTGGAGAAGAGTACTGAATGTACCATGGACTGCCAAGAAAACAAATAGATTCATCCTAGAGAGGGTTAAACCAGGCTGCTCCTTGGAGGCAAGGATTCTGGGGCTTCGCCTGACATATTTTGGACATGTTGTAAGGAGGGACAGGTCTTTGGAGAGAGACATCATGCTGGGCAGAGTAGAGGGACGGCGCAGGAGGGGAAGACCCTCTATGAGGTGGATTGATTCAGTGACTGGGGTAATCGGGATGGGTGTGTCAGAGGCAATAAGATTGGCACAGGATAGAGCAGGGTTTAGGGCTGTTGTACATAGGGTCGCTATGAGTCACAAGCGACTCGACGGCACATAACAACAACAACAACAAATGTGGTGTTGGAGAAGAATGCAGGAAAAGAGAGGAAGACCCTCAACCAGGCAGACTGACAGTGACTGCAGCCAATGGGTTCAAGTGTGTCAGAGATGACGAGGACGGCACGGGTCGGGGTTCTGACTTGTTGTTCCTGAGCCATGAGTCATGTTTGACTTGACAGCACTGAACACCACCATACACTACACACACCCACACTGCCTGGAGCCACACACCACCAGTCCTGTCTCACGAGCAAAGCAGGTCTCTCCTGATGACCTGTGGGCTCTGGGACCAGAGTAGGATGGAAGGCTGCACCCCAAAGGTCTATTTTAAGGCTTGAATCACCCCCACACATGCTCACAGTAATGAAAATGCCAACACATGAGACGTGATGTGGCAAGAAGCCCAGGGGAAGCCCCGCTCCAAGAGCACCCTGTCCCCCTCACGCTGTGAACAGCTCTTTCCAAGTGGTCACTTTGGTGTCATAAATGTCCCTGGTTAGAACCTCAGGATCAGTTGGCACTGCCCCACCTGCTCTGTTTATGTCCATCCTGTGGATTTGAATCCTGCTTATAAACGCCAAGACAGAAGGTATTATATGCAGTCCAGTCAACTATGACTCATACAGACCCTGTGAGCAACAGCTCCGAACTCTGCTCTATCCTGAGCCGTCTCAACGTCTCTGACTCCTTTACCACAGTCACGGTGTCATCTCGTCCAGGGTTTTCCTCTCCTGTGCTGACCCTCTACCATCCCAAGCATGATGTCCTTCTCCAAGGACTGGTTCCTCCTGGAAACATACCAAAGCATATGAGACAGACCTTCAAAATCCTCGCCTCCTATAAGCAACCTGGATTCACTCTTTCTAGGACAAACTTGTTTGTTCTCTTAGCAGTCAGTCCATGGTATGTTTGAGACTTTCTCCAGCACCACAATTCAAAGGCATTGATTCTTCTCCTGTCATCCTTAGTCATTGTCTAGTTCACTGGCACATAACAAGTAATTGCAAAGACCATGGCCTGGATCAGGGGCACCTTAGTCTCGAGGGTGACAACAACTCACGTCATGCAGATGAAACAACCTTTCTTGCTGAAACTGAGGCAGACATGAAGTGTTTGCTGCAGAATGTTGAGGACTATAGTCTTCAATATGGATTGAAGCTCAACATCAAGAAAACAAAGATTCTCACCAATGGGCCAATTGACAGCTTCATGATAGATGGAGAAGAGATTGAGATTGTTTTTTAGCAACTTCAGTTTGCTTGGCTCCAGCAGCTGGGAAATAAAAAAAAGACGAATTGCATTGGGAAAGACTGCTGTCAGATCCTCTCCAGAGTGCTGAGAAGCAACAATGTCAGCCTAGAGACTAAGGTGCGCCTGATCCAGGCCATGGTCTTCACAATTACTTGCTATGACTAAGGATGACAGAAGAAGAATTGATGCCTTTGAATTGTGGTGTTGGAGAAGAGTGTTGAACATCCCATGAACTACCAGGAGAACAAACAGGCCAGTCCTGGAGAGGGTGAAACCAAGCTGCTCTTTGAAGGCTAGGATTTTGAAGCTCTGACTCACATACTTTGGATACATGGTCAGGAGGTGGTCAGTCCTGGGAGAAGGACATCATGCTTGGAAGGGCGAAGGGACAGCACAGGAGAGGAAGACACAGGATGAGATGGACTGACTCAGTGACCGGAAAGGTGGGGTTGGGTCTGTTGGAGACGATGAGATCGACTCAGGACAGGGTAGGGTTCAGAGCTATTGTATACAGGGTCACGTAACTACAAGATTCCAAGGGTGTTGACTGTGGATCCCAGCAAGACCTAATAGTTCACAGACCCCATAAATGAAAACCTTGCCTGGCATGTAACCAACAAACTCGAGATTCATTTTTCAGAAAATGCAAAGCTGGGGTGGGGGGGCTGTAATAAAGTGGACCGTGCAGTGAACACGAGGACTCTGACAGGGAAGGATGCTTATGCTCTTCCTTACTTTCATGTGTTTAAAAATTCCCACAGTTAGGGAGCTCTGGTGGCCTAGTGGTAAGAAGCTGCACTGCAATCCCAGAGGTACATGGTTCAAATCCACCAGATGCTCTGCTGGAGAAGGAGGGACAATCTCCTCCTGTCCCAGTCAGATCTGATTTGATGGTACACACACACACACACAAAATAATAAAATTAAATATAATTTTTTTAAAAAAATTCCCACAGTTAAAAATTTTTTAAAAAAATCAGAAGCCTCTGAGCCAAAACAGGAGGCTGACCCGGGCTGGGCTGGTGGCTGGGTCTCTGCGTGAGTTAGAGGTGGAGGGCTGCGTACACAGGGACCCCGGGCAGCGCTTTGGAAATACTGTGCTGAGAACAATGCCTGCAAGGGGAGGGTGGCCAATAGGAGTCACTTTGGGGCCCGGGCACTGCCCAGTGCCCACTATGGCACTAGCCTTGGTTCCGAGGCCCTGTGAAGGGCAGCTCACACAACTCTGCTGAGCTCCTGTGTGTCAGAGTCCAACTGTACCCATAGTGCGCTTCAATGCCTGCTTTTCTAGCCATTCTCCAGAACTTTCTTCCAAGGCACCCACGGGGAATCAAACCTCCAACCTTTCAGTTAGTAGCTGATACATTCATCATTCACATCGCACCCCAAGAAACAAAACCAACCACAACCACGGAATCCATTCCAACCGCTAGGTCTCCTCCACCACTGGGTTCCTGAGGTTGCAAATCTTCACAGGTGACGACTATCGTCTGTGGAGCAGCTGGTGGATTCGAACGGTCAACCTGTTAGTTAGCAGAGCAACTCCTAACACACGACACCTCCAGTGTTCCATATGCACCAACCACAAACTCCCACATGCTCTTGTGCAGGTCAAACTTCAAGTCACTGACCTAATAATAAATGCAGTTCACAGAGGGGAAGGGACAGAGGTAACAAAGGTCCAGCCCCACGTCCAGACACGTTCAGCCCTGCAGCCTTTGCACAAACACAGCCGCCTAGCAGAACCTGGGCTCAGCGTTTGCACAGCACCTTGTCCCCCAGAAGCTCCAGGTAACTTAGGAACTCTAACTCCATGTCTCTCTTGCTGACTCGCCCACCTCCTCGTGGCCTATTTGCAGCGGGATGAGGAAGAGAGAGGGTTTGCTCACAGCAAACACATCTACAGCCTCCAGAACCCTCCCTCTGCCCTTGTGGTGCAGCTGTCTAAGGCTATGGAAATCTATAAGGATGTCAGAGGCCAATGACACCACTCTGCTCCTTCACCCCGGACACACACCATCTAAAAGAGCCCCACAGAGAGAGTGACAGACAGTAAGTGCTTTTTGTCCCCATATGCAGAGAGAATCTGGATGCTGTTTGTGGACTGTGGGCCAAGGGAAATTGCTACGTGCAAGGGCTTTTTATGTTGTAGTTTCTCACCATCGAATCAGGTCACCAAGAAAATGTTCTATTTTAAAAAAACAAACCAAACCCTTTTAAACTGGTGCCAGATAGGTTGGGGTTAGGGTTTTGGGCAGCACATGAAAGACTGAAACTCAACCTCACTTTTGAGAAGGAATCTGGGTTGGTCCATCAACAATCGTCCAGCTGGCAGGCTTGAGGGTCAGGACTCTTATGTCACATGACAGTCACTTGCCCTTGAGGAGACCCTGACTCCTGGGACCCCATGCATCAGAGAAATGTCCAAAGGCTGGAGGTTTTGGAAGCCAGTCACCAAGGCTTTCTCCCAGGGTTCCCATGAGTGGACTTGAACCTGCAAACTTTCTGTTGGCAGCCAAGGTCATTAACTGTTTATCCTACCAAGGTCTTGAACCCTAAAGCCCCAGTCCAGTTCCAGAGACTGACTATCTCTGGGTGTTGCCAGGAAACAATCAGAAATTTAGGAACTCTGGTGGCAGCGTGTATACATGGTGGGCTCTGACCCACAGGCTGGTGATTTGAGGCCACTGGTGCTCCCTTGGAGAAAGCTGGGCCATCCGTTCCCATCAAGATCTCTAGACCTTTCCTTTGAAGTAGAGTCTCCGTGGGTTCAAGCAAAGGGCATTTTTTTCTCATTTATTATTATTATTAATTTTAATAATGAAAGTTTACAGAGACTATGGATTTCCATTCATTCATTGTTGCACTTTTCTCCCTGCCCAACCTCCCCCCCCCCCCCCAGTTCGCTCTTCTCTTTGAAAAGTAAAAGAAAAATCTTTCATTGTTATACAATCCCTCCTCCCAAGTCCACTCCACTATGCAGCCTTCGTTCTGGACTCCTGTCATGACAATAATACCTAATCATACATCAAAGGGCATTTTTCAAGTCAGGATTTTTCTGGGACACAGCAGGCGGTAAACATAGGATATGTGTTGGAAGAACATGTGCTAGGGGGTGTCTGCTGACTCCCCCAAAAACAGCAGAGAGCACCAGACAGATTCAGGATACCTGGGGAACGTGAAGAGACGTTTTCTACCCAGGAATCATCCACGCACACACCCTTCAGCACGAGGAAGGCCCAGCACTGAAAACCAGCAGAGCTCAGAAGAAAAATAACCCTGAACCTCCCGGAAAAGGACTCGGAGGATCAGGGGCCGGTTATGCATCTGCCAGGAGGAAGAGGCGGCTCAGAGGCAGATTTCCCACCTTCCACCCCAGAGACCCGGGTTCAAGTCCAGGCCAATGGGCTTCACCCACAGCCCATCTGTAAGGGGAGACGTGCGCACTGCTGGGAAGATGAACAGGTGTCAGCAGAACCTCCAGACCGAGATGAACCAGGAAGAAAGGTCTGGCAATCCACTTCCATCTTACGGATCACAACACCCCGAGTTCCCAAATGATGATGAGGATCACACAGGGGACCCAGCAGCATTTTAATCTCTTGTGCCTGGGGTCCCCAAAAGCCAGTGTCAACTCCACAGCAGCTAACAACAACAGCACGAGTGTGTGTGTCCCACACAAGAGCAGAGACTGCAGCTTCCCGGTAAAAATGAGCTTGCTCCCAACCGTGCGACACAGGCTGCCGGAGGAGCTACAGAACCAGGCCAATTTTTCCTCCGCACCTCTTGTGTTAGACATGCTCAACTTCCTAACGGATGCCGTTCAGGCGAACTTTCGGGTGGCTTCTGCTGTAGGGAGCAGCAGCCGGGCTCAGCAAGTCGTTAGTGAGCTGCACACAGTGGACACGGTGGCTGAGATGACAGACCAGCTGACGGTGAGTTTGCACAGGGTTATGGAATTTGGCAGTTAATAGGAAGCAACAAATTTATTGAGATACCAAAATATGCCAAATAATGCTAATAGTGTTAGTCCCAGGCAACTTTGAACTTGTTGTTAAGTGCCGTCGAGTCGTGGGAGACTCATAGTGACTCTATGAATAAAAGTCCTTGACACTTGCGTGACTTTCATCCTTTCTCCAGGTTCATGGGGTTTCCGGAGGCAAGCTATTACGAAAGTAGATGCCTCTCCTGCTTCCAAGCTTGTTTTAATCTAAAATATCATGACATCCTCCATGTATATGAACAGTTTGAAAAATCAGTGTATGAGATGTATCTGCAGAAGGAGAGAATTCAGAGGTCATTTTGGTTCAACCCAGTGAATAAATCACCATTTACAAACGAGCTCCCAAAGTGTGGGAGACTTATTTTGGGGAAATTATAATGGAAATGTCTTCTTTGGTTAAAGCATAACTCTCCTTACTATGTCTTCACCCCTAAGGTTTGCCTAGCTTGCAACATAATGTTTCTCTTTTTCTAGTTATAGCCTTTCTTTTAATTCTTCATATTAGATGGGTTATTAGTTATAAGTCTTTATATAAAAGAATCTACTGCTCAGACACTGATGTGTCAAATGTGATAAAGGTTACCCATGGTGGACAGTGTTTGGTGGAGCTCTCCAATTAAAACAAGCTTGGAAGCAGGAGCGGCATCCACTTCCAAGATGGCTTGCCTCCGGAAACTCTATGAACAGTGCTCAGGCCTTTTCGCTCATAAGTTCTCTATGAGACGTCTACGACTCGATGGCATCTAATAACAACAGCACTCCCAACTGTGTCAAGAAGTGGAGGGCCTGCACTGCAATCCCAGAGGTACGTGGTTCTAATCCACCAGATGCTCTGCTGGAGGAGGGGCAATCTCCTCCTGTACCAGTCAGATCCGAGATGACGGTACACACACACACACACAATTTAAAAAAAGAAGTGGACAGCAGGGACACTGAGCCTGCAAACACAGGTAGGAAGGAGGCTCAGGCCCAGAGCTGCCTACTCTGTAGTATTTAAAAGGTTGAAACAACTTTTCCAAGATTCTTCAGTTCGTTCTCCCCATCAGCAATACCAGCAAATGCTACGGCTGCTTTGTACAAATAGCTCCATTTCACTGAAGAAAACCAGCTCTATTCAGACCAGTCCATGTCCCTGGATGAGGCAGTCAGTTAATGTGTCAGATGAGTGACCCACGATTTGGAAGTCCCCAGAGGTGACTCGGAGGAAAGGCCTGGTGATCTCTCCCAAGAACTCTGCCAATGAAAACCCTACCCAGTGCAGCTCTACTCTGAGTGAAAGCTGATTCAGCAGCAACTGGTCTGGTTGTTTTGGGTCACGCAAACAAAGGTCTCCTGACAAACAAATGCTAGGATATTTAGCAGCTGTGTTACCTGTAGTACAAAGAAATACGAACACACACGGGCAGGAAGCCTTTGATTAATGCTGCTGTTTTGAAGAGTCACCGAGTCAGAACCAACCGATAGGTGAGCCTCCAGCTGGTTTTCAGAGGCCGTAAACCACCCGGGAGGAGACTGACTGCCCAGCTTTCTCCCTCGAATCAGCCGTTGGATTCCAACCACGTGACTGTGCCTTGGCAGCTCAACTCCTTAGCATTAAGCTACCAGGAAAATATAAAGGAAAGGAGTGCATCAGGGATGCGTCCTGTCTCCCTCTCTTTCCAATCTCTATGCGGAACAATCACTTGGGAGACTGCACTTTATGAGGAGGAATGTGGCATCAGGATTGGAGGAAGAATCAACAACAACCTGTGTTATGCGGATGACACAACCTTGCTTGCTGAAATGAAGGAGAACTAGACGCATTTGCTGCAGAAGTTCCAGGACTGTAGTCCTTAATACAGATTGAAGCTCAACATCAAGAAAACAAAGATTCTCGTCATGGGGCTAATTGGCAGCTTCATGACAGATGGAGAAGAGATTTAGATTGTTTACAGTTTTAGCTTGCTTCATTCCACAATCAACACTCTTGGCACCAGCAGTCAAGACATCAAAAGACGAAATGTTCTTGGGAAAGCTGTCAGGGACCTCTCAGAATTGCTAAACATCAATGATGTCCATCTGCAGGCTAAGGTACAGCAGATTCAGGCCATGGTCTTAGCAATTACTTGCTATGCATCAGAGAGCTGGACAATGACTAAAGATGATAGAAGAATCATCTATCCTTTGATTTGTGGTGCTGGAGAGAAGTATAAAACATACTATAGACCACCAAGAGAACAAACGGGTTTATCCTAGAGAGAGGGAAACCAGGCTGCTCCTTGAAGACAAGGATTTTGAAACTTCACCTCACATACCTTAAGCATTTGGCCAGGAGGGACCAGTCCCTGGAAAAGGACATCATGCTTGGAACGGTGGAGGGATGGTGCACACATGAGAGGAAGACCCTGGATGAGACGCGATGGCACATAACAACAACAGCAACAGCAAAAGATAAAGTAGAACTGGGTTTCCAAGGCTGTAAATCTTTAAGGAAGCAAACGCCTTCATCTTTATCTCAAGTTAGGGCCGGTGGATTTGAACAACTGACCTTTCGGTTAGAAGCCGAACGCTGCAAATTCTACTCCTTATACCCTCTGTTTTGGAATCAATCGAAAATGTAATGCAAATGTTCCTCAGCCCCAATTTACTTTCTTAGTGGGACCCACACATTATATTACAGTCAATAAACATTTTAAAGTCTTCATTTTAAAAAACCTAGTGTTTTTCCCCGCTCGCGACTTCAGAGAGGAATTCTTCAGTGTGCCTGAATCGGACTTAGCTGCAATAATCCATGGGAGGAAGCTTCGCCTATCTTTCGTGAAGCAGCTGTTTGGCACTGTGAAATTCATCTCTTGGGCCTAAAAAGTGTGCTCTGAGTTGACATCAAATATGGAATGGAAATTTTATGGGTGTCTTTCAAGCGTTTACCAAGTGACCAAATCCAGACTTCTCAGGGCACGCATTGGGATAATCTGTTAATAACTTAATCCACCCTTCACTGCACATGTTTGATGCTAAGAATATTGGAGACATTGTTTCAACGGTCAAATAACTGCAAACAAACCAGAAAAGTCGAGGCTACTGAAATGAGCGGTGCTGTTGTTGTTAGACACCGTCAGTCAGCTCCGATTCACACCAGCTCCATGTACAGCCAAGGCAAAGCCCTCGCAGTCTTCACAGTCTCTGCTGTGATAAACCCATTAGTACAATCACTGTGTCAATCCAGCGAGGCTGTCAAATCAGCCCCAACGTGTGGTGACCTCATGCGTAACAAGACTGACCACTGTGGTCACCAGCTGATATTTCAGAGGTGGATCACCAGGCCTTTCTTCCTGTTGTTGTTAGGTGCCATTGAGTCAAGTACAACTCATAGCAACCCTATGAACAGATCTGAACCCTGCTATCCTGTGCCAGCCTCACACTTCCTGACACACTGGAGCCCATTCCAGCAGTCACCGTGTCAATCCACCTGGTCGAGGGTCTTACTCTCCTTTGCTGACCCTCTACCTTTCTGAGCACCATATCCCTCTCCAAGAAACAGCCCCTCATAGCAACATGCCCGACTTGTGTGAGGCAAAGCTTTGTCATCTTTGCCTCCACAGGACACTCGGCTGTACTCTAGGAAATATCTGTTTATTCTCTTAGCCATCCATGGAATGTTCAGTGCTCATCTCCAACACCATAGCTCAAAGGGGTCAATTCCTCTCCTGTCATCTTAATTCACTGTCCAGCTCTCAGATGCACAGCAAGTGATCAGAAAGATGATGGCCTAAATCAGATGCACCTTAGTCCTCAAACTGACATCATTACTCCTCACTGACATCATGACTCACTGTGATCATTGGCTGATATTTCAGAAGTAGATCACCTGGCCTTTCTTCCTAGTCTATCTCCATAGAAAGATGTTCAGTATCAAAGCAACAAATCAAGGCTCCAATGAGAGGTGGGGCTGGACCACATTTGAATCACAGATTGGGAGTCAAACCCCTTCTCCCTTTTGGAAAGCAGGAATGCTACCACTGAAAGAACCAAATCAAGACACTGCCATGGATTCCAGCTCGTCGAGCACCCACAGGACGGAGCAGAGCTGCCTCTACACCATTCCCAAGGTGGTATACCTTCCTGGAAGCCGCGTGCACAGCTTTCTTCCATGGGTTCTGGTGGGTTCGAACCACCGACCTTAACCACGGGACCCCAGGCTCCTTACTGAGTTAATAAGCCCAAACCCACTGACATGGTGTAACTTCCAATTCAGTGGCCCCACAGGCCATGAGCAGGACCGCCCCACAGCGTCTGCACGGCTGAAATCTTGACTGGAGCCACTGTGTCGTCATCCCTTGGGGATCATCAGCCTTCTGCTCAGCGTCTGCACTCTGTAACCAGTGTGCAAGCAAGGCCCCTACTGACAGAATGCCCACACCCACTAATGTCTAGTCAACCCCCTAGAAACCCTCCACTGGGCTTTGGAGACTGTGCTGCCAACCTAAAAGCAAATGGTTTGAATCCACCCCCTGCTCTAAGGGAGAAGGCTGTGAAATCTACTCCAGTGTGATTTACTGCCTCTGAAAACCCACTGGAAGGTCAGCTATGGGTCAGTTCACACTCAACAGTACACAACAACAACAAATCTTTTTTCCCCCTTCAGCTTCACTCAGAACCAAAGTACCAACACCCACTGAGTGAACTGCTCCTGAAACAAGCCTTAACAGGCTCAGATTGAGCCATCTTTCTGCCGTGAGCAATGGATTTGAACCCTAAACCTGTGGGTTAGCAACCCAACAGCCAGTTCTCTAGGCCACTGAACGAACGAGGAAGCCGCGGTGGAGCTGACCAGGTAGGCCTACACCTCACAAGGCCTCAGGCACAGGAAGGCCAGGGAAAGACTTACCTGCGTGCCTGGCCACCAGGCCACCACCTTGGGGACAGGTGACTGTGTGCTCTGCAGTGTGGGACGGGGGCGATCCAGGGGCCACGACCTCAAGCTCCTAACCATCCTGCCCACTTTCGCTCACTTCCTCGGGAACGCTGGCAACGACACAGGCTCTACCAGGAAGCCACGCACAGTATGACTTGACATACAGCCACGCGCTAGTCAGGCAGCCTCACCCGGGCCAGGCAGCGTGTCTGCAGGCCTCTTTTACTCGGCTGTAAAACGAGGAAGGTAAGGGTTCTCTCCTCGTGGAGGTGACGTGCGCTGTCTCCAGCGTCCAGGCCACACCGCCACCTCGCGACAAGGGCGTCTCGCGCAGGTGCGGCAGCGCACAGGTGGTCTCCGGGGAGCCGCTCCCTGGGGCAGGTTCAGGGCCGCGCCCAGGGACGAGGGAGTCTCTGAGTAAAGGGGCGTTCCCTCTCGTCCCCTCTGGGAGTGAAGTCGGACTCACAAAACCAAGGGCCACCCCGGGATCCTCATCACCGGTGCCTCGAAGTGCAACCAGATCTGCGAGAATCTGGAACGCGCCCCCCGGGAGACGCGCGCCCTAAAAAGCTGGCACCGAGCAAGCTCCGGGAACTGCGCCTGGGGCGCACTGGTGGCGGGCGCCCACCCCGAACAACGCAGAACTGTCCTCAGCCTTCGTTCCTGCACCACATCCCGAGCCCCAGCCGGCCCCTGAGCACCGCGGACCGGAGGTGCCATTGCTGACCCTGGGTCAGAAGCGGGGGGGGGGCGGGGGGGGACAGAGCAAAAGAGGAGGAGATATGGACCAGGGACGGGGACTCCGCTGGAGAGGAGGGGGCAAGGCAGGACAGAAGAGGACATGGGCCAGGAATGGGGACCCCCGAGATGGGGACAGGGCAGGAGAGGAGTGGACAGAGAAAAGGACCAGCTGGAGAGGAGGGGCCGGGGCCGAGGGCGCAGCACTCACCCAGCGTGGCCACCGCGCCGGCCTCGAAGAGCAGGCAGTCCTCGCGGCCGCGCGCCTCCAGCAGGACACTGCTGTCCCCCGCGGGTTCCAGGCGCCGGAGCAGCCGCAGCCCCTTGCTCAGCGCCATGGCGGGGCCGGCGTCGGTCCCCGAGCTCCTGCGCCCGGAGTGCACTTCCCGGAGTTTCACTTTGTGCTGCGCTCCCGCCGGCGCAAGCTCCTCCCCGGCCTCCTTCCCTCCCCTTCCTCCTCCTCCTCCTCCTCTCCAGCTGCTGGAAGCAGGCGCAGGGGAGAGGGCGCGGCCGGGCGGATGCCCTCCGGGGGCGCAGCCGAATTGACTCGGCCCACTGGGGAGGGTCGGTGTTCCGAGGGCGGGGGGCGGGGGGCGGCGGACAGCCAGATGCCTCGCATTCCTCGAGGTGGAGGAGGCCGAGGGGCCTGGAGCCTGTGGACTTCAGAGGACGCCCAAGGCCTTATAAGGACTGCAGGCCTGGGGCGCTGTCTGTCCGGGAGCTGGGGAGCCACCTGGAGGCAGCGAGGGCCTCCCTGTTCCCCTAGAGTGCTGGGTCTCCGCTGCGCTCCGCAGAGTCCCTGGGAAAGGCCCCTCCTCCTGTGCCTCAGTCTCCCTGTCTGTGAAGTGGGAGTAGGAGCGTTGTGGAGAAGAAAGATCTTGCTCCGGGGTAGATTCTGACCCATGGTGATGACACAGTAGAACCAGAATCAAACCCACCGTCTTAGAGTCAATGCTGACTCTTGCCCCTCTGTCCCTCCATAGGGTGTGAGTCTTCACGGGGAACTCCTCTAGATTCGAACTGGCAAGGTTTAGGTTAACAACCCAGCACACTGTGCACTGCCAGGACTCCGTTCTAAGTAGAACTATGCTCCATATTGCTTTCTGGGCTGCAGTCTTGGAAGAGTGGCTGGTGCATAGTTAAGCATCAGATCTCTAACTGAAAGGTGGACAAGTCAAACCCACCAGAGGCACCTTGGAAGGTAGGCCTGGTGATCTGCTTCCCAAAGGGCAAATCCTCGGAAACCCTATGGAGCCACAGGGCTCCCTCCACACAAGTTGACTCCCGGGGCAATTAACAACCACACATCACCAGACCTTCCTTCTGTGGCACTGCCGGTAGCTTTAAACCAACAATCTTTAGACTAGTTGTTGTTGTGTGCTGTTCAGTTGAAATCAACTCATAGCTGACCCTCAGGTGGGTTTTCAGAGGCCGTAGACCACACGGGAGGAGAAGGCACACCTCTAGGGGCAAGAAGCTGCATTGCCATCCCGAAGGCACATGGTTCAAGTACACCTTCTGCTCTGTGGGAGAAAGATGGGCAATCTCCTCCTGGGCGATTAACTGCCTCTGAAAACCCACCAGAGGGTCAGCTATGGGTCAGCTCCGACTCTATGGTACATAACAACAATGACAGGCCACCAGAGCTCCCTATTCGGCTAGTAGTAAAAGCCAGAGATGGTGAGATTGGCTCAAGATAAGGGAGGGTCCAGAGCTTTTGTTCACGGGGTTGCTATGAGCTGTAGTCAACTCAACAACACATACGAACCACAACAAAACCCAAAGAACTAATTTGATAAAGGCTTACTAAGGGCGGTTCAAATCTGCCAGGGCCTTGGAGGGAATGATGGCAGTCTCCTGTTAATAGTTGCAGCCTTGCAAATACAAGGGAGGGTCTGGTGACTCAGAATCAAACCAGCGGCAGTGTTTTTAAGGAGCTCTGGTGAGTACCATGGACTGCTAGGAAAACAAACAGATTCAGCCTCGAGAGGGTTAAACCAGGCTGCTCCTAGGAGGCAAGGATTCTGGGGCTTCATCTAACATACTTTGGACATGTTGTAAGGAGAGACCGGTCCTTGGAGAGGGACATCATGCTTGGGAGGGTGGAGGGACAGCATAGGAGGGGAAGACCCTCTATGAGGTGGATTGATTCAGTGACTGGGATAATTGGGATGGGAATGTCAGAGTGCGATTGGCAAAGGACAGAGCCGAGTTTAGGGCTGTTGTACATATGGTCGCTATGAGTCGCAAGCTACTCCATGTCACATAATAACAACAAAACTGGTGGCGGAGTGTGTAACATGTTGTATGCTAACCAAAAGGTGGGTTCTGCTGTACAGAGAATGTCTCCTCCCAGCCTGCAAAACCTGACAGAGTGGGGCAGTGAGTGCAATCAGCTCCAGAGCAGTGGGCTTCCAGGAAGGTTCTGTAAGTATTGCCTTTTTTCAGAAACACACACATATTGGCGCTGACCAATTTCAACTCTCAGTGTCTCTATAGCATCGAGTGGGGTTTGCAAGGCTGTAAATGCTTCATCTGTCTACCTTGTAGCTGATAGTATGTTTGAACCATCAACCTTTTGGTTAGCCCTTGAGCACTGTAACCACTGCTCCCCAGACCTCCTGTCCAGCAGCCACACCAGGCAGAATTGATGGAGACCAGCAGTGTTCATGGGGAGAACAGAACTGGGACCAGGCATTGCGGACAGTGACCTGCCCCTCACTGTGGAACCTTGGCCTCACTTCCCTGCCCCTCGTTTGCCCTGTGGCCACTGCATTCTAGCCCAGGTCTGGTCTGTTTCCAGCATCCTGGGAGAAAGGGGTTGATTTGGAGGATTTCTTTCCTTCTTTTTCTGCTGAGAGGGAGCTCCCATCTGCCAATCTGAAAAGCATGTGGTTTGGACCTACCAACTGCTCCACACGAGAAAGTTGAAGTCTTCTAACTTCCTGAGGGAACCCGTCTGAAAACCTGCTGGAGTTTTCCGTTTCAGAACCCTCTCTGACTCAGGGGTACTCAACAAGAAGTCAGCTTCTGACAGTAAATCCAGATGCCCTAGGGGAGCTCCATGGGGGTCTACCAGGCCTCCAAACAGTCTGGTTCCTCTCCCTGCCCCATGCTGCTGGGACTGAGTCTGTGGGCCAACCCACAAGCTCTTGGGCTTGTTCCAGAAGGTGGCAGTACCTGAGGCCACACAGACACTCAGGAATGGGCAGCGCAGGGCTGGGGCCTCTGAAAGACACTGCGGGGGGATTTGGGAATAAAATAAATGTGAGACATACTATGGGGAAGAGATTTTTAAACACTCTTGGGTTTCAGCATGGATGGAGTTATGTCCCCCCCCAAAAAAAGTATGTCTATAAATGCTAATCTCTGTATCAGTGATTATAATCCCATTTGGGACATGGGTGTCTTTGTTATGTTAATGAGGCAGGATGAATCTAAAGCCTGTGTTGAGCCAATCTCCTTAAATTTTAAATGAAATTTTTGTTTTATTTTGACTTACAAAGTTCCTATCCATTGTTTTTCACACTGGATCTTTCTCCTGTTCTTTACCCACCCCCTCCCCACCCATCAAATTGTGTGACCCTATGATTAAGACACACCCCTTCCCCCACCCATCTTCACCCCCTCTCCTCCCCTCCCCACCTCGGATCCTCTAACATGTTCTACAATAATTGAGAACCCAGAAATGAACCCATCTGTCTACAGCCAACTGATATTTGACAAGGGAATAAAACCTATCAAACGGGGAAATAACAACTTCTTCAACAAATGGTGCTAGCAAAACTGGGCTGCTACCTGCAGAAAGCTGAAACAGGATCCACATTTTACACCATACACAAAACTCAACTTAAGGTGGATCAGAGACCTGGGAATAAAGCACCAAACCATAAAATTCATGAGACAAAACTGGGATTAAGCTTAGAAGGCCTAGCCTATGGTATAAAGAGACTGCAAAATACAGCCAGAAATGCACAATCTGAAGAGGATAAAGTTGATGAATGGGACCTTCTAAAGATTAAATGTCTGTGCTTACCAAAAACTTTTTCCAACAAGGTGAAAAGAAAACCTACTGATTGAGAGCAAACATTTGGCAATACAGTCTCAGACAAGAGTCTCATAACAAAAGTTTACAGAATACTCCTGGGCCTCAACAAGAAAAAGACTGATAATCCAATTACAAAATGGGCAAGAGATATGTAAAGACTTCACAGAGGAAGACAGTCAGTTGGCCAACAGAAACATGAAGAACTGCTCCAAATCACTGGCAGTTAGAGGGATGCAAATCAAAACCACAATGAGTTACCAACTTAGCAGTGGCAAAGTTCAGCAGGTCAACAAGAAATAAATGTTGCAGAGGATATAGTGAAATAAGAACTCTAACACATTGTTGGTGGGATTGTAAAATGGTACAACCACTCTGGAAAACAGCTTGGCATTTCCTCAAAATGCTGAACATAGAAATTCCATATGACCCAGCTATTTATTCCACTGTTTGAAATACACCCTGAGAAAATGAGAACTGAGGCACAAACAGTAATATTTACACCAATGTTCACAGCAGCGTTATGCACCATCGCAAGAATATGGAAACAGCCTAAATGTCCAACAACAATGGAATAGATTGAGAAATTATGGTATATTCACACAATGGAATACTATGCAGCTCGCAGGAACAATGATTTGTAAGTTAATACCTACCTTGGATGGGACTGGAGAGCATTATGCTAAGTGCCCTAACTCAGTCTCATAAGGACAAATACTGTATAAGAGCAAATCTTTTGAGGTATAAAAGAGATTAACCAGTGGACAGAGCACTGGGGGAAAACAGACAAAGAGCTCACCAAGGAACTAGCAGCTTCTGCTGAAGAGAGGCCCATTCCTAAGACCCTAACCCTAACCCAAGAACCAGAGATCTTAATTTAAACATCCAGCCTCCTGAACTATGCTGTTGTTAATGTGCCATTGAGTCATAGCAGCCCCATACATAAAAGCTCTGAATCCTGCCCTATTGTGAGCCAATCTCACTGTCTCTGACACACCTACGTCTTGTACTCCAATTGCTGGGTCAATCCATCACATCTGGGGTCATCTTCTCCTATGCATCCCTCAACCTTTCTCAGCATGTGTCCTTCTCCAAGGTCTGATCCCTTCTGGCAACATGCCCAAAGTTATGTGAGACAGAGCTTCAGAATCCTTGCCTCCAAGGATCAGCCTGGTTTCTCTCTCTTCAGGACAAACTTGTTTGTTCTCTTGGCAGTCTATGTTCAATACTCTTCTCCAGCACCACAACTCAAAGGCATAGAGTCTTCTTCTGTCATCCTTGGTCATTGTCCAG